ATCTGTATTGTTCCATACAAGTGTGTATTGAACGGTTCGATACGGGTACATATATTGTTGAACCCCTAATAATTATTTAACCAGGCAAATACCATTGAGATCACAGATCTTGTTTGCAAGGGAGGCCTGGGCAGGAAGCAACCTAACAAGCATGTTTTTTTATTTTTATTTTTTTTTGCTGGACCATTTTTATTGGTTAAAAAAAAGTTGTTGATAAAGKGAAAGGATTGCAGTGAGTCCCAGCACTGAGGTCAGTGCTTGCCATGGCAGAAATGCTGACAGAAATGCTGAGCAGCTGTTTTCTGTTTTTGTTCTACTGACCCACTGAAAGCACCTTGGGGACTTCATGTTCTCAGCAAACCTCAGTCAACAAGACAGTAAAGTCCGGGATGAGAGCTGGGCGTTGCAGTTTGACAGCTCTCTGAAAACAGTCAGCTCTTTCTGCCAGTCTCAAGAACAAACTCCCAGTCTATGACAAACACTGCCTGTCAGCTTAAGTCTATACGTTGATGTATTACAGCAGAAGTGGAGCCTTATTTCACCAAACAGGAATAAAAAAAACAACACGCTGTGTCCGTCATGTTGAAGGGCTGGTGTTTGCACTAATAATCTGTTTGAGCCTTTTTTTAATGATAAAACCTCTCTGCAGTGTTTTCATCAATTTGTATTGAGCTTYGATGGACACTTTTAATCATTTCTGACATTTCATTACTATATGAAAATGAAAATTGATTAAAAATGTAATTGTGAGTTTGGAAAGTTGTTTAATCAGTAAAAAATGGAGCATTTGCAGAGAAACTATTTTGCTGTTTCTTTCCCTCAGACCACCTGTGGGTGTTGTTACCTGATGTTTTTATGGTCGTCGCCTCCGAAGTCATCGTTGACATCATTAAACATGCGTTCATCACAAAGTTTAATGACATCAATGCAGAGGTAAGAACCAGYCGTTAGTTCATCAGGTAATATTTCTGTTCCAACAGGTTTAAAGCTGCTTGTTTTCCAGGTCTACAGTGAATACAGAGCCAGTCTGGCCTTTGATCTCGTCAGCAGTCGGCAAAAAAATGTAAGCAACTCTGATTTTATATATATATAATC